CCATTTTTTTTAATTTAAAAAAAATATTTTATTTTATTTTATGTGTATGCATGTATTGCCTTCATGTAGGTAAGTGCACCATATCATGCAATGCCTGCAGAGGTCAGAAGAGGCTGTCGGATCCCCTGGAACTGGAATTACAGACAGTTGTTAGCTGCCATGTGGGTGCTGGGATTCGAACCCAGGTCTTCTGCAAGAACAGTGTTCTTAACTGCTGCAGTATCTCTCTAGCCCAAGTAAAATTTAATAGAACTACTATATAGGTTAAAAATCTGAATTAGATCAGTTGGTTGAGACCCAAGGCTTCCTGTATTACCTAGGCAACTAATAATAAGTGTCTCTTCAGGGGCTATAAGGTTATTTCTGATCTACTTTCTAGCTGGTCATTAGTTTCTTTTAAAAAGGTGTTTAGGTTGTTGGATTGGATAAAAGACTTTTTTTTTGAGGGGGGTGGATCTTTTTGAGACGGTCTCCTTGTAGCTCCAGCTGTCCTGGAACTCACTATGTAGACCAGGCTGGCCTGAACTCTCAGAGATCTGCCTGCCTCTGCCTCCCAAGTGCTGGGATTAAAGGTGTGTGCCACCATGCCTGGCTGAAAAAGACATTTTTAAGGTTCCTATAATTATATAAAGTTCCTAGAAACTGTTCTTAAAAATGTTAGCCATTACTGGGGCTAGAGAGATGGCTTAGTGGTTAAGAACACTGGTTACTCTTGCAGATGAGCTGGGTTTGGTTCCCAGCACCCACATGGCAGCTAACAACCATCCATAACTCCAGTTCCAAGGGATCCAACTTCTGACCTTCGCAGGCATTGCATGGCATGGCTGCACATACATACAGGGAGGCAGTACCTTCATACACATAAAAATAGTAAATAAAAATTTTAAAAAGTTATCTATTACTATTTCCTGTTACAATAATGTAATTAAACTTACAATAAGTGGCCTCTGTCAGCTGCCACATGGATGGGCAGGTGGCCTGAACTCTTAGGGACGTTGGCATCAGCTCCATACTCTAGCAAGAGGGTCACAGAGTCTGGATTTCCTCCTCTAGCAGCTTCAAGTAAAATGGAGGAAGAATCAGAGGCCTGACTGTGAACATTAGCACCTGAGAAGAGGAAAGGTCTTGTTAGGCAAAAATTCTTTTCTACCATATTGTAAGTATCACTACTACCACCACAAAGCAGCTAGTGAGTATCTGCAAAGGCCAAAGAATCAAGACACATAACAACTAATAACTACTCCCTGTCCTCAAGTACTGTATAAACTAGCTGGGGAAGGAAAACATGATGTAAGCAGTTTCTAAATTATAGTTAGGTTGACTCTCAAAGTAATTTGATAAATTTTTTTGGAACTTGGAATGTCCATAGAAATACTTTTATAAAAGGTAGCTTCCTTCTAGACCAGTTCCCATAAGCCAGCTTAACCTAGCATGTTCTCGTATAGAATGGTGCTAATAGAAGAATTTCTAAATTTGGGGCTGGAGAAATAGCTCAGTAAGGAATAGAGGACCCAAGTTCAGTTCCCAGCACTCACATTGGGTGGCTCACAACTGTCTATAACTCCAGCTTCAGGAGACCTGACACTTTTCTTCTGGCCTCCAGGGGCACTTGCACTCGTGCACATATACATACACACTTAATCAAGATCTTAAAAATTTCTAAACTTTGGGGCTGGAAAGTTGGCTCAGCAGTTAAGAGCACTGGCTGCTCTTGCAAAGGACCTGGGTTTCGTTCCAGCACTCACATGGTGGCTAACAACCGTAATTCCAGTTTCAGGGAATCCACCACCCTCTTCTGACTGTGGGCATTGCACAATATGGGTGCACTTACATACATGCAAGTAATGCACTCATACACATGAAATATTAAATAAAAATTCTAAATGTCACAACTACTGAAGTAAGTACTAATGTCCTTATTTTAAAGATGAAAGTCAGACTCGAGTATAAGTGGCTTCTCCCAAAACAAAGCTGGTAAGCAAGCCAAGTGCTTAGGGTTTGTATACTACATTATTTCTGTGATGCCATTCTGCCACTGTGGCCTCACAGGGTGCTAAAATAATGTGATTTGGAGTCAAGACTGTGACTTCAAGTGCTGGCTCACTGGCCAGTGAATGCTAGTTTGTTTGAAGGGTAAAAGATTTTAAGTCTGATGTGGTGGGTCGTACCCCCCATCTCTATTTCAGTCAGTGATCTAAAAGGTTTACGCTTGGATTGGGCATGTTTGTCTAGCACGCAGAAGGCTCTGGGTTCAAACTCGGGAAGATGTGTGTGTGTGTGTGTGTACACACACAAAATTACTCTTTCCTTAAAGATGAAAGATCCAGTATTTACTTTTGTTATTCTAGCTAGTAACTTTAGACATCTTTTAGATCACTTCAGATATCTTGCTAAAATTCCATGGGCATTTGTCAGAAATTAGTATTAAGTATATAAAGCATAGGACTGTTCTTATATAGGTGGCCCTGACATCTAGAATATTGGAGACCAGGACTACTCATTACCGATAAATATGACTCCTGGACATAGGGGAATAAAAAGATATTTACAAAGTTGAGACTTTATTAAATCTTGATAAAAGTTTGCTTCTTTGCAAAAAGCTGTAAGTACACTGCCTCATTGGACACCTTGATGGAGGTCTCAGTGATTAATTAATACTGAAGTTCTCTGAGCCAAGGGTTCTGCCAGCTAAATCAGGATCTAGAATGGCCATAACTGTAATACAGTACTGGGGTACAGGAATGAGCATGCTCGGAGAGAAGCCCTGCAGCTGATACTGTTTCTGACCTTACCTCAATGTAAGGTGTGGTTGATGCTTGCCTCACATATTTAAAGGACTGCGTGGAGCATCCCAGCCAAATGCTTGTTGGGTATAAAGTACTCAGTAAACATAAATTGTCCTCCCTTAGAGTTTTGGTTATTACTAGAGCAGAGAAGTAGGACCCAGAAGAGAAGTCAGGAATTTCCCATCATCAAAACAGGTTGAGGACAAATTGCCTCATGAAAGCCTTGAGAAAGCATAGATGGTTGTAGAGACTTCGATTTTGGTTGTAGGAAAGGACAGCTAACACAAATGGTTTTAAAGAAATAAGGAAGAGTTACCTGCATCCTCATAATTTTAGGAAAATTCAATCTCCATTTTAGGCTTTTTCTTTTTTAAAAAAATAATTATTTTTATTTTATGTGTATGTGTGTATTGCCTGCATGTAGGTAAGTGCACCTGTGTCATGCAATGCCTGCAGAGGTCAGAAGAGGCTGTTGGATTCTCTGGAACTGTAGTTACAGACAGTTGTTAGCTGCCATGTGGGTGCTGGGATTTGAACCCGGGTCTTCTGTAAGAACAGCCACCTAACCACTGAGCCATCTCTTCAGCCCCCCCCCCTTTTTTAAAAAATGTATGAGTGTATTGCCTGCATGCAATACCTGCAGAGGTCAGAAGAGGGCACCAGATTCCCTAGAACAGAAATTACAGACAGTTGTTAACGGCCATGTGAGTGCTGGGAATTGAACCCTGGTCCTCTACAAGAGTAGTCACTGCTCTACACTGAGCCACCTCTCCAGCCTGTATTTTAGGCTTTCTACTAGCCAACATTTACACCCAACTTAATCAAACATTGGTCGTAAAATAAAATGCTAACTTCTATTATTTTGAAGCTCCTCATGGAGCTTCTTTGTTTTGGATCACATCACCACTGACCATAAGGAAAACCTTGCCTTTCTGCAGTAGTAGTTCCATGATTTCAGTGTGTCCGCTTTGGGCAGCAAGAGCAAGGGGAGTAAATCCATAGGAGCTCCGTGGATCAGGGTGCGCTCCAGAAGCCAGCATCAGCTTCACCATATCCCATCTGCCAAGTTTGGCTGCTTCATGGAGGGCTGTCCTCTCATTGGCACATTGCAGATTGACATCTGCTCCATGGCTGATCAGCAAGGTGGCCATGTCATAGGAGTCCCGCAAAATAGCTGGGAAATTAATTGTAAGGCCAGCATTAACAGAGTTAAGGTGAGTATCATATCAGCTGCTGCCCCTCAGGTGTCTTAAGGAACTTTTTGCCTCTATCCCCATGCTTTAACATTCTGTTTAGGAAGCACATTATGTAATAAGACATGTAAAATAATCTTTATAATGTTTTATATCATTGGGCTGCTTTTCTGTAAGTTCTGACCAATTACTATTTACATGGTTGAGACAAAGTGTCATTTGTTACCTTTGTTTTCTCAAGAAAATGGGAGTGTAGGAGGGAGGGGTCCACAAGGCTCCACCCCTCCCTAGGAGCTCTAGGCAGTTTGGGTATAGAAGAGGAAGAGCCATTTTCTTCAGTGTTGTAGCCAGCAGTAAGTTGCTGTGCTTCTGTAAATTACCCCTCATCCATGTTTCTTTAAGCAACCCTAGTGAAACTCTTTGGGTCATCAGAAAGGCAAACATGTAGAGGGGCTAGTTGAGAAGAAGGAATTTAGTGGGAGGGGGGCAAAAGGTTAATGCAGAGTGAAGGTGATCAAAATACATTATATACTTGGATGAAAATGTCATAATGGTATGTGCCCAAGTTCCAAATCAATATACAGAGTAACTCCTACATTAATCACCTAAATATAAATCAGACAGTATGAAACCTTCCACTTTACAGAAATGTCATAATGAAACCTATTATTATGTGTAAATAACACATACTAATACACACACACACACACACACACACACACACATATATATATATATATATATATATTTTTTTTTTTTTAAATAAAAGAAGGGCCAGTAAGATGGTAAAGGTGCAGGGCTGGAGAGATGGCTCAGCGGTTAAGAACACTGCTTGTTCTTGCAGAAGGCCCAGGCTCGAATCGCAGCACCCACATGGAAGCTAACAGCTGTCTGTAACTCCAGTTCCAGGGGATCCAATGGTCTCTTCTGTCCTCCGCGGGCATTGCAGCACACGGGCGCACTTACCTACATGCAGGCAATACACTCATACACATAAAATAAAAATAATAAAATATTTAAAGGTGCTTGCTCCCAAGCTTGACACCTGAGTTTGATCCCTGGGAAGGAGAGAACCAACTTCTGTAAGTTATCTTCTGACTTCCACATGTGCACTGGCACACGTGTATCCACACACACTAAATAATAAAAAATATTAAAACTAGAAAATACATGCTCATCTCAGTGAATTGCTTCAAAAGGACTGAAACCCTAAGGCAAACCGAACCCTGATACTTCTATATACTGAAATCCTTCCTTCACCCCTTATATGAAGTGGTGACAGTAACTTATTTACAGATTTGTTCTGGTTTTGAAACTTTCTGAAAATCATCTTTAATAAAAGTAAACTATTAAAAAAAGAAAATGAGAGCTTAAATACATAGTACAGTCCTGAAAATTCTGTAGCTGCTTAAAAGAAGAAAAGCCTAATAGCAGCAGAACCTAAAGGAATGATGAAAATGTAATTTAAATATTCATGTTAGGTGAATGGCTGAGCCAATAGTTTAGAGCTGTGTTTCCAGAACTGTATTGTATAGAATGCCCATGAGTTCTTTGATGATGAAAATTATTTTAGTATTTTTTTATTTATAATTTTTTTGTGTATTTCATACAGAACATCCCAAACAGTCTTATCTTTATACCCACATCCATCAAATGGAGCTCTCCCATAGCTTCCCCCATCCCATGAAAATTTTGTGGTTAACAACAACTAAAAGTAACAAGAGTGCTTTTCTAGCATGCACAAGATGCTGGGTCCCATATCCAGTACTCCAAACACAAAATGAATAATGAATAAATAAATAAAATGCTCAGAAATGCTGTCCATTCTGTAGATTTGTGTGGAAATCTGAGGAATCTGTGAACTTGCTTTACTATATCCCTGCATTTTCCATAATATCTTGAATGGGGAAATATGTACATGTTACAGAAAAGGAATCCTTTGACCCAGGTAAGCAGAGGTCAAGAGAGGAATCCTGCTCTTTCCATGATCATTGTGACAGGCATGATGTGTTTGCATGCAACTTTCACACAGGCAAGGTAAATACTATCATACAAGACACCTGAGGGTTAGAGAGGTTAGAACTGCCTTCTCAGAAGTTTGTGCTGCCTTCTCAGAAAAGGCTCTGCTCAGAAATGGAAAAACTCAGAGCCTGAGCCCCTGAGCCCCAATTTTCAGCAGTTTTATTGCCGTTCTCTTTTTATTTCATTTTAATTTTGATAAAAATTACATAGGTACTTGGTTTAAAGAGATGTGCTCGATAGCTTGAGTGTCAACTTGACACACCTGGGTAGAGGGAGCCTCATAATTGCCTTCATTGGTCTGGCCTGTGGCCATGTCTGTGGGGCATCTTGATTGATGAGTGACGTAGGAGGGCTCAGCCCACTGTGGGTGGTGCCACCCCTGGGCAGGTGGTTCTGTGTTGCATAAGAAAGCAGGCTGAGCAGGGGCCAGGGGAGCAGGGCAGTAAGCAGCATTCCTCCATGGCCTGTGCTCCAGTTGCTGCCTCCAGGATCCTGCCTGGAGTTCCTACCTTGGGCTCCCTAATAAGCATGACCGGGGAGATGTAAGCCAAATAAACCCTTTCCTCTCCAAGTTGGTATGGGTCAGAGTATTTTGTCACAGCCATGGAGAGACAAACTAGAACAAGAGCCAGTTAATAGAGTTTTCCATCCATTCCCAATTTTGTCCTTTCCCAAAGACATTTTGTTTTGTTAAGAAGTGGTCTCAAAATCCATGCTGGCCTTTAACTCACTATATAACCCAGACTGACCTCTAAGATCCTCCTGTCTCCCTTCCTGAATACTGCAAGCATATGTCACCAAATCTGGCTTTATAGAAAGCAGGTTCTTATGTCTGGTCGGTAGGGACCAAATCAGCCATTCTGCAACTAGGAGGAAAAGCTGACTTTGAAGCCTGTGGGCGTGAAGGAGACCAGTGCTATTGGCCTTCAAAGGCAAGCTGTTCATTTACCTGCAAGAAGAGGGGAACTGCCTTCAAAATTCTTAGTATTCGGATTGCAGCCATTGAGAAGGAGAAAATTGGCATTTTCTAAGAGGTTACAGCTGACAGCCAAAAACAGTGGCGTTTCACCATTGTGGGTTGTTTGCTCCCACATGCTGGGTTTGGAAGCTGAAATAAATTCATCACATCATACAGGTTAAGAAATATAAATACACTTTAATTTTACTTTTCAGAAGCATTAAGAGGACTGAAAAGTAGTTTACCTTTCAAGGTTATTTCTAAAATGTTCTTGTTTAACTGCACTGCAGCCTTATGCAGAGGAATCCAGCCTGAACCGTCCGCTTCATCAAAAGCAGAATGGTACTTGGTTAAGTGTGCTAATGCGTCCTCCTTACCTATTAAGGAAACAAGAGATTCACATTTGCACACATGCACAGAAGCTTGTGCTTCTGAATTCCACCACCAGTGAGTGTAAAAGACAATCAGCACACGATTTAATGGCACAGGAGAGAGACTAAGGCCTTCCAACTAGCGGTCCACACCCCCCAGGACTATGAACATCCCCAGTGTCTTGTCACAGAGAGAAAAGTAGCTTGAGCTATAAAAGTCAGGTGTTCTTTGCTACATTGTGCTGAACTATTTTCTCCAAGAAAAGTTCACATGAGACTCCTGGTAATCAGCTGTGGTCCCCCAAAGAGCCCAGAATTTAGAAGAATCTGTTTCCAGGCTTTCAGGGAGGAGATAGAAGAAACCCTGCAACCATCACAGTCCCACAACTTGAAGGGAGGATAGGAAGAGTGCTTACCTTTCTCTATTGTTTCAACTATCTTCTTAGAATCAGCACTCAAAAAAGCATGGAATCTGCATAGAAAAAAATGTTTTCCTAGAAATGATTTTTCTGATATAAATGAAAAAAAGGTAAAGTAGCAGTTACTCAGGATGAACTGTGATGAGACAGTGAATGTTTAATAGAGTTTTCCTGGGGTTGAGCATGTAGCTCAGTGGCAGAGTGCTTGCCTAGTTTGCACAGACCCTGCATTTGATCCCCAGCAAATGGGGAAGGGGAGAGAGTGAGCGAGTGAGCGAGAGAGAGAGAGAGAGAGAGAGAGAGAGAGAGAGAGGCAGATCTCTGAGTTCAAAGCCAGCCTGGTTTATATAGCGAGTTCCAGGCCAGCTGGAGCTACAAGAAGACCCTGTCTCAAAAAGACCGAAAAAAAAAAAATAAATAAATTCATGAATTGAGCTTTAAAGATGTAAGAATAGAACTTAAGGGGCTGGAGAGATGGCTCAGTGGTTAAGAACACTGGCTGTTGTTGCAGAAGATTTGGCAGCTAACGGTTGGCAGCTACATGGCAGCTAACAACTGTTCGTAACTCCACTTCCAAGTAATCCAATGGCCTCTTCTGTTCTCTGTGGGCATTGCACAACACCAGTGCACTTACATGCAGGCAATACATGCATGCACATAAAATAAAAATATTTTTTGTAAATAGAATTTAAACTGTTACTTTTTTTCTGAGCAAGAATCCTGATTCTGACCATGACTATATTTTAAAGTTCATACTTTATTATTGTTTTGGTTTTATTAAGACAAAGTCTCCCTGTATTCTCAGCTTGTCTAGAACTCCCTATGCAGACCAGGCTGGCTTCCATCTCACAGAGATCCACCTGCCTCTGCCACCTGAGTGCTGGGATTAAAGGAGTAAGTCACCACACCCAGCTGATTATGTATTTTTGCTAAATAATAGAGTAACTATCAAATTTTCCCATTTAATACTGTTTCAGTTTTAGGCAGATTTGAGTAAATTCGGCAACACTGACTGAACCTATATACTGCAATCTAGAGATAATCCTTGCTTCTACAAAGCTAAATCTAATACAGAAGAGCAGACCTGGAAAGGTGGTTTTTCTAGTACCAATTCTCTCTCTCTCCTCTCTCTCTCAATTTTGGATATTAATATGCAGATCAGCAAAATTTGTGGGAAACAACTTGCTCTATTGGATTGTAGCCTTGAGTCTTAATATGTTTAGATTAACAAATTTATTCCATATTGTTCAACAGGAAACAAAGCTTAGCAGGAGAGGAGAGCCAGAGAAGTGACAGGGAAGCTACAGGTTACAGCAGATTTGTGAACTCAGCCAAGCACAGTGGTTTTTCTAGAACGCAGAAGAGCAGACCTGGAAAGGTGGTTTTTCTAGAACCAATTCTCTCTCTCTCCTCTCTCTCTCAATTTTGGATATTAATATGCAGATCAGCAAAATTTGTGGGAAACAACTTGCTCTATTGGATTGTAGCCTTGAGTCTTAATATGTTTAGATTAACAACTTTATTCCATATTGTTCAACAGGAAACAAAGCTTAGCAGGAGAGGAGAGCCAGAGAAGTGACAGGGAAGCTACAGGTTACAGCAGATTTGTGAACTCAGCCAAGCACAGTGGTTTTTCTAGAACCAATTCTCTCTGTCTCCTATCTCTCTCTCTCTCTCTCTCTCTCTCTCTCTCTCTCTCTCGTGCACCACTATGCCCGGCTGAATTTCTTATTTTAAAGACAGGATCTCACTATGTAGCTGAGGACTAGCTTTGAACTCCTGCCTTCTCTCTGCCTCTTCCAAGATTATAGGCATGCAATACCATGCCAGGCTTCAATATATGAATCTGATGTTTTTAAATTTAGCAAATAAGGATTTTCATCTTTTCATTTTCTTTTATTATTCAGTGAGCCAGGGTGAGAATAAGTTCTCTTAGACAATCTGTCCAGCTCACAATTTTATTAATTAAATTCTTAAACATTTCAAACTGCACTTATAGGCCATCTTCCAGGTGCCTTCTGTTCCCCGCCTTCATCTTTTACTTTTAAGGACCCTTGTGATTATATTGGGCCCACCCACATCATCTAAGCTAATTTTCCTATCTTAAAATTAAGTGGTTAGCATCTTTAATTCCATCTGTAGCTTTACATCCACTTTGCCATGTAAGGTTTATGTACGCAGGGTTGTAGGAATTAGGATGTAGGCATCTTTTTTAGGTGGGCCATTACTCCACATGACAAAATTGTATTCTCAGTGTTTTTGTGTGTGCTCTATGTATGTGTACATGTTCATGTGTGTCAACATCTGGTGTCTTCCCAAATCACTTTTCTACTATGTGTTTTGAGGTAGGATCTCTCACAAACCTGGACCTCATCAGTTCAGCTAGATTGGCTGGACAGTGAGCTCTAGGGCTCCACCTGTCTCCTCCCCATGAGCACTAAGGTACAGACACACTATCATGCCTTGCTTTTACATGGATACTGGCATCCAAACTCGGGTCCTTGTGCATGTGCAGCAAGCACTTTACCCATTGAACCATCTCCCCAGTCCCTTTTCTAGTTTTCTAATATCTAGAAGTCTCTAACCCAATCAATACCCCTTCCTAGGTATCACACAATTCTTGAAGGTTTACTAAATGAAACATATAATAACTAGTCAACTTCAATTTCTATAACATTTCTATTCTTCAGTCAGAATCTTATATCTTTCGAACTAAAATTATTAATTCAAAATCAGTTACTTGGTTATGTATTTTTATTTTTTAATATTTGTTATTTTATGTGTATGAATGCATTGCTGCATGTATATTGTCCAGTGCCCTCAGGGGTCAGAAGAGGATCCCCGGTACTGGAGTTATGGACAGTTGTTAGCTGCCATGTGGATGCTGGGAATCCAACCCAGGTCCTCTGCAAGAGCAGCTGGTGCTCTTGGTGCACTTAACCACTGAGTCATCTCTCCAGCCCCAGTTATGTATTTTAAAAAATCACAACATTAATATGACAGATAACTTAATAAACCTAATTTCTTAATAAAGCTTTAAGCATTTAAATATTGTTCTCACCCTGAAGTCAATGCAAACATGTAGGAATACTGTGTGGTGGAAAGCACAAACTTTGGAGTCAGACTGCCTGACTCTTCATTTACTAGTGGGTGAACCGGAGTAAGTCACTTTTCTGTGCCTCACTTCCCTTACTTCTAAATGGGGATAATAACAGAACCTACCCCATAGAGAGGTCATGAGAATTAGAATTTAAATGAGTAAATAGTTATGAAGTGCAAACAGTGTGGCACATTGTGATCACTCCATGGGTTGGTTACCTTTAAAAAATACTATTGGGCTGGGGCTGGAGAGATGGCTCAGTGGTTAAGAACACTGACTGCTCTTGCAGAGGACCCAGGTTTGATTCCCAGCTCCCATATGGCAGCTACGAACTGTCCTTAACTCCACTTCCAGGAGAATCCGAAGCCCTCTTCTGACATCCGTGGTATTGCACGACACGGATGCACTCACATACATGCAGACAGTACACTCATACACATAAAATAAAAATAATAAAAATATTTTAAAAAATACTATAGGGGGCTGGAGAGATGACTCAGTGGTTAAGAATATACATTGCTTTTGCAGATGACCTGAATTCAGTTCGCAGCACCCACGTAGGGCAGTTCACATGCACCAGTAATTCCAGTTCAGGGGATCTGACACTTCTGGCCTCTACAGGCAGTTGGAGACACATGCACACCCCTTCTCCCCATACACATAATTAAGACTAAAAATAAAATCTTTAAAAATACTATGCATTTGGCTGGGCATGGTGGCGTACACCTTTAGTCCCAGCACTTGGGAGGCAAAGGCAGGCGGATCTTTGTGAGTTCAAGGCCAGTCTGGTCTACATAGTAAGTTCAAGTCAGCTGGGACTACAGGGAGACCCTGTCTCAAAAAGACAAAAAAAAATACTATACGTTTGATATACTTCTTCACCATCTCCATATTTACTATAAGATCTCTTAAGGTTGAAGGGTTTTTACCCTGTTTTACCTGAGCAGGTAAGTAGAGGTTGCCATTCCAAGCAAACTGGGTTCATCACCCTAGAAAAACAATGTTTTTTTTCCCCTCAGGGGTCTACTACTACTGGTCAGCAAACCAAGAGAATGTTTGTCTGTCTGTGCTTGACTGTGCACTGCCCATACCCAGTGTGGGGTGACTCTTAAAGATAAGCTGTGCTAGGGTTCTCCAACACTTCAGAAGTGTCATTTGTTCTTTCTGATCTTTGTTCTTTTCACTTAGATTTGCTGTTACCCATCTTCAGCTATTTTCTTTACAAATTAAATTCTGAATTATTTCCAGGTATTTCTCTTTTCAATCAGACATTATATCTTTTTTTTTTTTAATGTGTATGAGTGTATCGCCAGCATGTATGTGAGTGCGCCCATGTCATGCAATACCACAGGGGTCAGAAGAGGGCTTTGGATTCCCCTGGAACTGGAGTTAAGGATGGTTCATAGCCGCCATGTGGGTGCTGGGAATGAAACTTGGGTCCTTTGCAAGAGCAGCCAGTGCTCTTAACCACTGAGCCATCTCTCCAGCCCAAGACATCATATCATTTAAAAAATATTTTATTTTTATGTTATGTGTATGAGTGTATTGCTGCATGCATGTAAGTGTACCCATGTCATGCTATGCCCATGGAAGTCCTAAAAGGGTGTTGAATCCCCTGGCACTGGAGTTATGGATGGTCATTAGCCGCATGTTGTACTGAACCTAGGTACTTTGTAAGAGCAGCCAGTGCTCTTAACCACTCAGCCATTTCTCCAGCCCCAGACATCATATCTCATACATATTTAAGTCACACTTCCTTACTGGGAGTGTTGCTCAGTAGTATAGTGCATGCTTAGCACACATGTGGTTCTGGGTTCAATCCCAACCAGTATAAAAAAAATTCTTCAAAGCATAAAAATTTGCTCCTTAATAATTAGTAGATGTGAAAAACATTACCATTGAAATCTACCTGATGACTTTATAGCCATGCTCAGATGCCAAGGAGCTCAGAAAGTAACCGACTGTGACTAGTAATATTCAGATAGATAAGGATTAGAAATGCACGTGCATCTTAATAGCTCAGAAAAATGTTATTGAATAGGTTAATGCTGTTGTAATGAAATACTTCTTCTAAGTATGTGGTTATTAAATAAATAATTAAGAAAGCTCCCTGTATTCTGATGTTCATTCCCATTTTTTGTCACATTAGAATTATACTAATGACTACTCTCAAATGCTGAATACTTCATACAGTTGTCAGTGAGAAAGCCATTACCTCTCATTTTCAGGTGTGTGCTGCCTTGTTCCTGGCTTGTAAACGTCCTCTTCTTCTAAGTATGTGGTTATTAAATAAATAATTAAGAAAGCTCCCTGTATTCTGATGTTCATTCCCATTTTTTGTCACATTAGAATTATACTAATGACTACTCTCAAATGCTGAATACTTCATACAGTTGTCAGTGAGAAAGCCATTACCTCTCATTTTCAGGTGTGTGCTGCCTTGTTCCTGGCTTGTAAACGTCCTGTAAACTCTGTTGAATGATGAGCTGGGTGTCAAAATCAGCATCGGTGTCTTCATCACTGCTGTAGTTATCCATGTGAAACTTGGACAGGTTTACATTCACATCAAAATGGATTAAAAATATTTTTCTGGTTGTGAAAAAAATTTTCAACTGCTTTAAAGTATAGATGACATTTAGAAAACTAGAAAGTTGATAGAATTGATAAATGAAGAGAATGCAAACTTTGAAAGTAAAATAGTCATTAAATTTTTTTTCTGTAAACTTAGAAGTTTTCTGGACTGCTATTCAACATAAATTAGAGGTTTCTATAGGTAGACATTTACTTAAAGTTATTCGAGAAAACCTTCCTTTCATGTAAGACTTAGGTCATAAAACTTTGCCAGCTATACATCACATAGGGCTAATACCTAAAATATATAAAGAACTGCAAAAATTAAACACCAAACCTCTCAAACCCATCCAATAAATGGACTAATGAACTGAACAGACAGTTCTCAAAAACAGAAATAAAAATGGCCAGTAAATTAGATTACATAGTACAAGATTACATATGCAGGTTGCTGGAGGAGAAAAGGTTTCAGTGGTCTTACCCAGTACTGGATCCTGCATGCTACAATAACACCCTGTCTAGCAAATTGTGCCTACTGGAGTAATTAATGATATGATGGTTATGAGGAGAACCAATCACTTTTTGATTGGATATAAAGCCTGCTCTTCAGGAAGGATTTCATGCCTGGTACTGTAAAACTGGTCAAAATCCCAAGGGAGATCATAGGCCCTTGTGGGGAACTAGTCGCTGTTTTGCTATAGATGGTCATGCAATCTAACTGCCTTCTAAATATTTTTGTTTGTGCCCATAGATTTGTGCTGGTCTCTGGTCAGAGAAACTTTTTTTTTTGTCTTATTTTTGAGACAGAGTCTCCATGTAGCTCCAGCTGTCCTGGAGCTCACTGGGTAGACCAGGTTGGCCTTGAACTCACAGAGATCTGCCTGCCTCTGCCTCCTGAGTGCTGGGATTAAAGGTGTACACCACCATGCCTGGCCAGAGAAACTTTTTATAATGGATAGTGGTTAATGCAGAGACTGAGTATAAGTAACTGAGTGCTCAGCTGTGAATGAATCATCTGTATCATCACAGCCCATTCCAACACTCAGGGAACAGCTCAGAAGACAAGGAATAAAAAAAACAAGGTGGGAGAACAATAGCCACCACATCAGTCTCTGAACTTGCCTCCACACACAGACTACAGGAAAGTAGGTACCACATCAGTCTCTGAACTTGCCTCCACACACAGACTACAGGAAAGTAGGTACCACATCAGTCTCCGAACTTGCCTCCACACACAGACTACAGGAAAGTAGGTACCACATCAGTCTCTGAACTTGCCTCCACACACAGACTACAGGAAAGTAGATACCATATCAGTCTCTGAACTTGCCTCCACACACAGACTACAGGAAAGTAGGTACCACATCAGTCTCTGAACTTACCTCCACACACAGACTACAGGAAAGTAGAAAGGGGACCATGAATAAGAACAAAGTATAACAACATATATGTATGAAAATGCCATAATCAAACCCATTGGGAAAAAAAACACCACAAAGTGAATAATAAACTTTAAGAGGTAGAAAAAATAAAAAAGCTAGTGTAACATTGAAAGTATTTGTATTTGAATTTAGGCAGGGATTGTTTTTCTCAATGATTATAGCACCCAAAAGAACATCTTTCCTATACACAGTGAATGGTATGCTAAATATAAGCTTAGTAAACACTAAAAATAAGCATGTTATAGGAATCTACTCTCTTAATACCACATACAATAGGAGTAGTAGTAGTAAAACCAAATGTTTTAGGCAATACCTAAATAGTTTTAAAAGAACCAATGGTTTTAATGTAAAGTAGGTTCCAAAGACTAATTTTTTTTACCTTTATATCCTCTAGGACTGCTCTGAAGTTTGCATGTTAAGGGTATAGTAGGATCTCCACTTGCCTGCAGTGACCATTATAAATAGCTTTGCTATAAATACTTGATCATAAGACGATCTGGCATGTTCTTGTTTTTCACATGTGGTTTAGTTCTGTTTGGAAACATGACCTCTTTTCTTCACTGCTAGATTCATCAAATTGAAAGGATTTTATCTTATTTTGGGAATAAAAAATGTTTGCAGCGGTTTGGCCATCCACAGAGAATTCATTTTCTTAAGAGTCATGCCTTAGCCACTGTAAACAAAAGTTTCCTACTTGACTCAGAAATTTTGCTCTGATGGCATCTCAAGTACTGAACAGCACAGCCTATAGTATCAGCCACTTGGGAGGCTGAGGCAGGAAGATCCTAAATTCAAGTCCTGCCTTGGCTACAGAGTGAGTTCATGGCTATACTGAGTAACTCAGTGAGAACTTGTCTCAAAATAAAATGGAAAAAGGTCTGGGGTTACAACTCAGTAGCAGAGTACTAGCTTAGCATGCATGAGGCCCAAGTACTGTTTGATTCCCAGTATCGTTAAAAAAAAAAAAAAAAAAAGCCGCAGGGCGTGGTGGCACACGCCTTTAATCCCAGCACTTGGGAGGCAAAGGCAGGTGGATCTTTGTGAGTTCTAGGCCAGCCTGGTCTACATAGTGAGTTCCAGGCCAGCTGGGGCTACAAGGAGACCCTGTCTCAAAAAAAAAGCTAATCGTTCCATGGATTCACTGTGTAACTGCACCTGCATTCTTGAAATCCTAAGGAGGGAATTACAACATAAAATGGCTATATTTAGGTTGTGTGTGTCTGGGTATAAGCGTACATACATGTACATGTATATGGAGGCCAGAGGTCAACCAAGGCTGCCATTCTTCAAGAGCCTTGTGTTTTGAGCTAAGGTCTCCTACTGAGGCCTGGGGCTCATTAATTAGGCTAGGCTGGCCAGCCAGTGAGTTTCAGGGATCTGCCTGGCTCTGCTTGCCCAGCACTGGGATCATGAGCATATGCTACCACATCCATCTTAAAAAATTTATTATTTATCTTAAAAATATTTTTAAGACTTATTTATTTTGTGTATGAGTGTTATGCCTTCATGCACCCATGTTATGCAGTGTCCACAGAAGTCAGAAGAGGGTGTCGGATCCCCTGGAATTGGAGTTACAGACAGTTGTTAGCCATATGGATGCTGGGATTTGAACCCAGGTCCTCCGTAAGAACAGCCAGTACTCTTAACTTTTGACTTATCTTTCCAGCCCCCTATTTTTATTTTATGTGTATGAGTATATTGCCTGCATGTATGCAAGTGCCACCTTTGTCGAGAATGGAGGTCAGAAGAGGGCGTTGGATCCCCTGGGACTGGAGTTATGGACTTGTTACCTGCCATGTGGGTGCTGGGACTCAAACTCTGTCTGCTGAGCCATCTCTCCAGCCCTTTTTTTTGAAACAGGGGCTCATTATATAGCACTGGCTGGCAGGAACTCTCTATATAGACCAGACTTTCCTCAAGCTCTCAGAGATCTGCCTTCCTCTGCTTCCCAAGTGCCAGGATACAAGGCGTGCACCACCACACCTGATCAATTATTTTTATTTTTAATTGTGTGCAACTGTGTGCATCTGTGTGTGAGTTTGTGCATGTGAGTGCAGTGCCTATGCAGACCAGAATCAGGTGTCAGATCCACTAGAGCTCTAGTTACAGGTAGTTGTGAACCACCTGATGTGGGTGCTGGGCCCCATGAGCATTAAAAGTATGTAACTGCCAAGTCATCATTTCTCCAGCCCCTTTTCTCTCCCCATCCAGCTTTTATTTTATTGTTATTTTTTTTGAGACAGAGTCTCACTGTGTAATCCCAGCTGGCCTGGAATTTGCTAGGTAGACCAGGCTGACCTCAATCTTACAGAGATCTTCCTGCCTCTGCCTCCTGAGTGCTGTAATTAAAGGTGTTGTGACATCCAGCTTTTGTGCATGGGTTCTGGGGATTGAACTCAGATCATGCCTGCATGGCAATCACTTTACCAACTGAACTATCTCCTCAGACCCACAATGCAGTACAATTTTGACTAAATTTTTTTTAACTTTGTCTATTTTATTTTTTGAAATATTTTATTTAGGGCTGGAGAGATGGCTCAGTGGTTAAGAACAGTGGTTGTTCTTGCAGAAGACTCATACACATAAAATAAAAATATAAAATTAATAGTTTATTATTTTTATTTTATGTGTATGCGTGTATTGCCTCCGTGTAGGTAAGTGCACCCGTGTCGTGCAATGTCCATGGAGGACAGAAGAGGCTGTTGGATCTCCTGGAACTGGAGTTACAGACGGTTGTTAGCTGCCCTGTAGGTGCTGGGATTTGAAACCGGGTCATCTGTAAGAACAGCCAATGTTCTTAACCGCTGAGCCATCTCTCCAGTCCCTAAATTTTTGTTTTGTTGAAATATTTATGAATAATTAATGTATATTAATATTATCAATGCACTCTAAGGAATAAGAATATCAAGTGTTAAAAATAACAAAGTAGGGGGTCAGTGAAATGGCTCAGAGGGTAAAAGGACTTGCTGCACAAATCTGAAGGCCTGAATTTGATCCCTGGATTCCAAGGTGGAAGGAGATTACTGACTTCCAGAAGTTGTCTTCTGACCTCCACACGCAGTGAGGCACCCTCCACCCATATAATAATAAATTAAAAAACGAATTTAAAGGCAAAGGGAACACTTGGCATTTAACTAAAAATGATGTGAATGACAAGCAGCAGTCACCGTGAAGCACAGCCACTGTGGCGGGGAAGCGGGCTCTGTCCTCGGGTCTGTTCTTAGCCTCACTCCTTTGTCAGCCACATGGGTTCTCTGAGAAATGGCACTTATATCTTAACAGCATGAAGTAAGGGGTTTGCCTCTTTGCTTTAATATTTTCCTCACAGAGTCTTTACATTTTCATGCATTATGACTGCAGGCAGCTGAGTGGAAAGCAAACCATGGAAGCTGACGAAGACAACACTAGTGAAGGAAAGAATGTAAATTAAATTCTATTCACTCGATTTCCCAGATCCGCTTCTCACATTCGTATCAATCTTTGGGAAAACTGGATAAAATCTGCAAAAGTTTTCATATGCTTCAAAGAACACTTCTTTTCATATTTTTCTTTTTACAGCTGTCTGGCTATCATCACAGAGGAGTCTTGCTATAAGCCTGTTTTCATTTTTTTTTTTTTTTGGTCTTTTTCAGACAGGGTCTCCCTGTAGTCCCAGCTGTCTTGGACCTCATTATGTAGACCAGGCTGGTCTTGAACTCACAGAGATCTGCCTGCCTCTGCCTCCCAAGTGCTGGGATTAAAGGCGTGCACCACCACGCCCGGCTTTGTTTTCCTTTATTACAAAACATTTTATATTAATTTTATTTTTTATGTGTATGAGTGTATAAGTATACCTGTGTCATATAATGCCTACAGAGGTCAGAAGTGATCCCCTGAAACTCGAGTTTCAGGTAGTTAGCTGCCATGTGGGTGCTGGGAACTGAACCCTGGTCCTCTGCATGAGCAGCCAGTGCTCTTAACTGCTAGGCCACCTCTCCAGCCCCTATAAGTCTGTGTTTCTAATCAGCAATGGTACAGATGGAGAACAGGGCAATGATCATTTCAAAGAATGACACCATGATAGTTTTAGAGCATTTTTTTAAAGACGTGAAAACATCTAAAAAATTGTATGTTTTCTAAATTTGTTCATGTTAGTTGTCCAACTGACAAAGCAAAGCCACACCACGCTTGACCCAGTGTTGAGAAGGCTGGTCAGTTTTTAACAACATTGCAATGACAAAGTTAGTAGAATGTCCTGTGGTGGAAAGAGTTCCTTTACGTTCACTTGTCTTGTAGAGGGGACAGACGTAGGCATCTGACTTCACAATCTGAGACTTTTCAGCTTGAAAAAAAAAAAAAAAAACATTAGTAAAGAGAAAAAGAACAATTGTTTTTCCTGTAATAAAATGACCAAGATCTTGATTATAATATTTAAAGATTTTTTTGGAGGGCAGTTTGAGACAAGGTCTCCCTGTAGTCCCAGATGGCCTGGAACTTGCTATGTAGACCAGGCTGGCCTTAATCTCAGAGATCTTCCTGCCTCTACCTCCTGAATGCTGGGATATTAACAGCATGCACCACCACGTTGGTGTTCTTTCTTTTTAACAGTGGGTGGATGAGTATCACTGTGAAACAAGATAAGCAGTTTCATATGGTGTATGATTCTAGGTTAGGAGCTGATTTTAAAGTTTTGATCTCTTATGGGTCTGGAGAGATGGCTTAGTGGTTAACAGCACTTGCTGCTTTTCTAGTTTAGTTCCTCAAATCCACTTCAGGAGGCTCACACCTGCCTGTAACTCCAGCTCCAGGAGATCAGATGCCCTCTTCTGGCCTCTGCTCATATATATGGCATACACTCACATGGAGAGAGAGAAAGGAGAGAGAGAGAGAGAGAGAGAGAGAGAGAGAGAGAGAGAGAGAGATATTGAGAGAGATTGATTAATTTTTTAAAAAGTTTGGATCTCTTAGCAGGCATGAAAAAAATCTCAGGAGGATATGGAAGGGATGGAGAAAGAGGACAATATAGGGAAGAGGGGGCCCAGTGTGGTAGTTCATGCCTTTAGTCCCAGCACTCCAAAGGGAGAGACAGGTGGATCTCTGTGAGATTGAGCCCAGCTTGGTCTACACAGTTGAGTTCCAGGCTAGTCAGGGCTGCACAGTGAGACCCTGTCTCAATAAAAGGGGCGGGGGGAGAAGAAATCAAGAATAGTATATGCAGAGATGTAGAAGAAGAAACCACTTGGAGCTCTAATAGAACTCTTGAGAACCACAGTTGACATTTCCAGTAAACATGAAGTAAACACCAAGAAGCATTAAGTAACTACAGGCATGGAAGCTGGTACTGCCCACTAGCCAGTGTTTATATGACAGTTTGAAGAAGATGAGGGTTCTATTTTAGCAGGTTATTAATAAGGAAAATACACAAGCTCTCATC